GGGGAGACCTGTCTATTACCCAGATTTACCTCTTATCATAAATATGTGCAAAGCTTGAAAGTTGTAATCAAGATAGTTTTTTTTAGCTGAACCAGCTCTCATCCACTCACAAAATCAGCTGTAAAGTTTGAGCACGAAAACTAACAACACATCAGCCGAGACAATGATAATCAACCCAAACCTCGCAGAACAAGATCTTGCTTCTAGAATCTAGATCTAGATCTAGGTCTGTGTTTGAAATAGGCCCCCTGTTGCCTACTATTGCCTCCCTTCTTTATGGTCTTTGTTGTTGACTTTCTGCTGCTTTCATTCTGGTGAGTTGTTCTCTTACTACTCACTGAATGACTGAATAATGTACAGTTTTACCTCATTATAAAAGAAAAATAAATAGATAACTAAATATAAAGTATTGGCCTGTTTTGTAGAACCTTGATGGACAAGGATAATTTATGCTTTTGAATTAGACAAGGGTTATAATGTTATTCCGTCCCGCCAACAACACATGGTGGTAATTTCAGGGGGAGGAAAAGACATGAGAATTACTAGGGTACCAGAGAACAATCCTGTGAATACTTTCTTACTTGACAAGAACATCCTTCTTTTTTATGCCTCCAAATAGAATTACTCTCAGTCAGGGAGCATGTCTTGGTCCTGTAACTTTAAATAATACATGACTTTGACAATGGAATGTTGATGACATTTACCTGAATTTGAACACCATGTGATTTTTTTTTTTCTGACAGCAGCAGGCAATAGAGGAGGGGTTCAGATGGTCTGGAACTGAAAAGGGATGAGAGTTTGACATACCAACATCACCATATTACCACAGATATGAAATCTAACAGCCAGAGTTATAGTATAGTTACACGTAATTAAAAAATCTTCACAACTAGCAAGACCTCAGTACAATCAAAGTTTGGCGAATACATTTTTTTCTTTACAACACTGCTTTATTCTATAGCCAAATAAAAGAAAAGCTGTTGTGTGTGACACTGTGTAACCCTAAAGGGATAAAGCTCTACAGATTGGAGAAACTCCTGACTGTCTCAACTGTGGCTTAAAAAAAGTGAACACTGAACCCAAAGCCCTAGAAAGAACGAGAGCTCCCAAATATTGAGCCTTAGCAAGAGCATTGAACCTGAAGACTAGAAGACTTTTTCTCATTACCAATGAGAAAAGAATAAAAGGGAAATTCGTTGTATGAGTAGGAAGTGAGATCTGCTACATCACCACAAGAGGTGGAGTTTGAACTGGGCTAAATTGGGATATAATTTAAGGGAGACAATTAGTTACTTAATTTGTTTTTAAGGACGCTGACAAAATTGTTGAGTTATATCCCTTCTTCCATTAAAGACTCGATAATGGTGGTTTTTTTAGTTGGAGGGGGGTGGGGGAGCTTGATATGGCTCCTCTCAGGTTACTAAATGTGGTAGCATTCTCCCCCAAACATTGAAGTAGCTCTGATGGATGTGATGTCTATGTCTTTGGATGAACAGTTCCTGAATCCCTAAACTACCTATACGTGGTGAACTGTCCATTGGTTAAAGAAATTGAGAAATGGATCAGTCTAAGCACTTTAAATACTGAAGGTCTTGGTCATCATCATTGCCTTTCTCACCCTGCACCAGGGTATAGGCCACGGACAAACACTTTCCACCTTTCTCTGCCCTGGGGCAAGCCTTGATGTTATTCCATGTCTTCCCACTTTGGTTGGCACATCAAAATTGTATGACAAAAAATGCACTATATTATCACACTAAAACTCAATTAGAATGATAATTCTTGTCAGCTTTTGGAAGATTAAAATGTTTCACGTTCCTTGATGTCATGGCTATTCCTGTAAGGAGTAAGAAGAAGAAGTGTATGAAAACTTTGGTGAGAAAAGATGACTGGAAGTGTCATGAATAACTTTGGTCACGTGTACACACTTGTATTTGAAAACTGTTGTCAGTGGTCAGCATAGCCAATGGAAGGGAAACAGAAGGAGATGCTAAACATGAATGGGTCTACAAAATAGTCTGTGGCTTGTGCCTCCATTGCAGATCAAGCGCAACTTGTGAGTTGACCGAGAGGGATGATCTATCTGTCATTCGGTTCTTGCTATTAACATAACCATATCATATCAAAATTTAGATGAAAAAGGCCCTTGAGAAAGGGACTTCCATTGCTATTGCTGATTTTCACTGTTGATAGACACGGAGATGCTGATTTTTCTGATAAATTCCTAAATCAGGATTTTTATTATGTTCCATATTTTGCCCCAGTGTTTTATACAAATACAAGATGTATTGAACAATAAAAAGTATTAATAGTCATAAACTTTGTGTCCCCACCCATGCCTCTCCATGGAGTCCGAACAGTTCAGGATGTTCTTTCATTTTCAAAGTCAATTAGTACCTCTGTAGACATTAAGCATTGCTGTATCTTGTTTTTACAAATTCACTCAAATGTTTTGCCCCTCTGATTTGCCCTGTGTTTTAACAGGTCACACCGTTTGCCATCATCATGACGGATCAGCTGCATGCCAGGCGGGGGCAGGCAATGCTCAGGAAGAGAGGGGACATCTTGCCCGAGAATGCTGTTCCCATGACAGACGATGAAGTTTACGAAGTTCAAATGAAGAGAATTGAACAGTTCAAACCCGAAAGTGAAGTGTGAGTGCATCAATGGTACTGTCCCCGCCGTTTTATGCACACACAAAAATTCAGAAATTATACAAACTGAGCCCAAAAATGTTAAATTATGCGATTCTGTCAATTTTAACAAAGAATGATAAAGGAAAATAATCAGAAATTTTGCAAAAAATTATCAAATTTTTCTAAATTATGCAGGGTGCATAAAACCACAGGGACAGATGGTATTGTTGTTATAATGTGCATTGAAGTTAGTGTGATAAACAAAAGTCAAATGCACGCATGCACACCATATTATCTTGATTTACATGGGTGCTGTATATATCTATATTATGTACTATATGTACTTTGCAAAATTTCCAAAACTCACTGGATCATCACCACCCCACCCCTCAAAAAAAGACATTGTGACCACAAAAAAGGACATAAACTGCACGAATGTACCGCACCAGTAACTTAATAGTTAGAGAGAAAAAATTCGGAGCTGTTTTTTAAATCATGTTTCGAGTTAAGTTAGAAAAATACAAATGGATAATTTCAAATGGGGGGGGGGGGGGGGTTAACGATTAAGGGGATAAAAATCATCAGATATTTCAAGGCCAGTGATGATTGGGTATTTATGACCAATATCGAAATGACGACTCTTCACTGTTTGCATATATTTTGCTGAGATTACTCGCGTTAATTTTCTAATATGGGGACATTGTTCAGCTCAATTTATTGGTTGTTCCTTACTCCAATCTGGCAAAAATCCTGCTTGCCTAACAATGCATCATTTTTATTCTAGATGCCAGAGCATCAAGATGTTATGTGGAAAATACTATGATGTATTATTATTATTATGTGCATGTATATATGTTTAAATTACAACCAGCTCATATATTTTTGGCCTATTTGTCTAACACATAGAATACTAGACACTCTGTCTAAAGATCAACTCCTCAACGTGCAATTTGAATTGAGATGGTTGAGAAGAATAATGAAGCTTTGTAGGCTGTGATTTGTGACCAGGTACACTTATGTTCCAAGCATAGTTTAGACTTAGAGTTTAGAGGTGTGGGTGGTTGGCGGGTGCTCTGGTGTGGTCTGCTTCTTCTTTCCTATCTAACATCTATCGTCCTTATCTCCCTTTCTTCTTTTTTATGTTTGTTACTCTCTTGTAACGCCTCTAGTCTTCTGGCGCTTAACTTATATGACCTTGTGCAGTTGCGAGCGCCGTAAAGCCTCTAGTAAAACTTTAAAAAACCAACAGAGTTTAGAGGATTTGACCTAATAAATTATGCCGTTGATAATAATTACATGAAACTGATTTTGTTTACAACGTTTTGCTTTTTCTCTTTGCCAGGAGAGCATTTAAATACGGCTCGTTCCTGGTCAGTGCCAATGTGGCGGTGTCTGGCGTGATGATCAGCAACATTGTACGGCAAAACTTCAACTTGGGAGCCCTCCGTCGCGGCCTCACGTACGGCCCAGCTCTATTCATCCCGTCCATCATTTCCGTGGGCATCCACGAGATGGCGGTGAAGAGAAGCATACTTCTTGGCAAAGAGGAGTGCCCTCTGTGCATCTCTCTTCGCTCTGGAGTCCTACAGGTGGCCAGCGGCGTCGTCTACCCTTACGTCCTGTCCATACTGACCTGCCTACCCACGGCAAGAGACTACTACACACTTCCTCTTCCTGCCAGCAAGTCTGGGACGAGTTATTTCAAACTTCTGAAGCAGGTTTCGCCGTCGAAAATGACCATGCTATTGTTGGCGCTGAGCAACATGTTTGTGGGCATGTGGATGGCCCGGAGAGAGCTTCAGATCTTCCACAAACATTTTGAAAAGCCTCCAAGGCAGTTGGAGATGCCTGTGGACCTGGATAGTAACTGATGTTGACTAGTGTTTTGTTCACTTTCCTGAGTTAGACAGAAGGGATATATGTTTTGTAGTTTTTTAAGCTGTGCGCAAGTCAAACTACTTTGAGTCAGATGGATGCTTTTTTTTCTGTGGTGTACAGATACAATACATGATACTTCGCCTCATTTAATTCAGAGAGTTGGTTGTTGTTTTGTTTTGTTTTTTTAAGGAAATTGTTTTGTTTTAGAATGCAAAGAGAGATCTGTGTGAAAAGGATGTGACAGTGACAGCAATTTATTTAGTCTTTAAGTAACTGATACAATGGGTCAATTCGCTCAAGATGCCAAACATCCAAGTAGCTTTAGAAATCCTTCTTTAAGTTTTTCATAGTTTTACATGTCGTCCATTAGTTTCAAGCAGTGTCTCTCGAGCCCTGGGACAAATAGCTATAAACTAGTATAAAAAATGAATGGGGCAATGCAGCCCCAATAAACACATCCGCTTTCATATTACACTAGCTGGGCCCCCTTTCGATGAAAGGAATGATCGGTGCATTATCATCGACTGAAAGTCATTGGCCTACTATATTTACACTCTTAGTTTAGTTTTAGTAGAGGTTTTACGGCACTCGCCACTGCATAAGGTCATATGAGCGCCAGAAGGTTAGAAGTGTTACAAGAGAGTAACAAACATAAAAAAGAAGAAGGGGGTTAGACTCCTCTAATCTTCTGGCGTTCATATGACCTAATGCAGAACAGTTGCAAGCGCCGTAAAATCTCTACTAAAACTAAAACTAAAGAAAGAGTGAGGCTAACGCAGAAAAAGTATAACTAACATACAGGTGTGATAAACCAGGAGACAAAGTAGGCCTACAAAAAGCGAAGAAAACACAAGATGTCGTCTGATTAAACTGAAGATCTATTTGAGTCACAAGGATGAAAATATAAGTCAAAACAAAGGCAAAAAAATAATCAATTGTAAAATCTCAAATCATTTCACCCTCTTCTGACCAGAAAAATAATATCGCAGTCCCGCTGTAGCTGTAATATTGATGGCAAGCAAATTTCTGCAACAAAGAAAAATCAGCTTTGTATGTAGCCAGGCTGAGTAGGCTACATGACATTGTTCCCCAATTGAAGATATTCCGTATGGAAAAAAAAATTGGCGAAACAGACAAGAATATGTACAGTACAAGTTGTAAAATAGAATAAAGTGGAATATGAGAATTCTTCTTCTTAAAAATAAAAAAAATAAAAAGTTGACCTTGAACTGACAGTTCATAACAATAGCAGTAGGCCTACATGTAGCATCATGTCTCCACAGAGGGAAAAATTCTTCAAACAGCTTCAGAACACCCCCCCCCCTCCACCTTTTCCCCCTTTCAGGTCACCCTGACCATTCATTTCAGGCCTCTTTAGTCTTTACCGTATTAGTGGCGATGTCTTGGAAACACACAGTGCTGCAGCATATTACAAATACAAGGTGCATAGGCCTACGTCTAGCCACTCTACCAATTGTGAGGCACGCTGACAAAATGAGTTGTTTTTCACATTCCGCAAATAGAGATATCCTGCGAAAAATCAACAGACAGGTCAAAACTGTACATTTTCAACTGATGCCATTTTCTCCTAGTTAAAAAAATGTCCTTTACCATTTCATATTAATAAACTGTCAACAGTCAACATATAAATTTGAGTGCTGACGTAAATTGTTCTTATGGCTAAAATTTGAGAAGTACCGGTACAGGTAACTTGTATCTCATTTTATCACAATTTCAAAGTAGCCTACCCATTTGCAACTTGGTCAACAGAGAAGAATAGAGAAAGTAAGCCCTACCTTTCCATGGTTACATCATCATCATATATAATTGATAATCATATATATATTTATGGGGAAGCACAAAAAATGATACAAAAAATTAGCTTGTCTCCGGGCCATGGCCTCACCGGTAGTGGTAGACCAGGAAGCCCATCGTTACATAAAACACATCACAAATTACACTACATCAGTACATGGAGCTTTGGGCGAAAGTGAAAGGTTCTAACCCCAACATAGAGGTTGTCAATTCTTTCTCTCTCACCTAAGACATCATCATTAATATTATGTTTGTGAGTGACAGGGGCCACATTGATTTCTTTACTTCAGAATCCTTCAGTGGTACCGTACATCTTTTTTTTTTTTTTTTTTTTATTTTTTTTTAGACAAGAGTAGGAAATTCTCTGAGCAATTTATATAATATTAAATTTTTGGAACGTCTGGCAGTTTTAATTTGTGCATGTCATAAAAATATTGGATTACATGTATATTGGAGACTCCTTCATCAAATAAAAATCTGTAAAAATTTTTAAAACTTGTTTGAACGAAATGGCAACTTCCACGCTAATCAATGATCAGAGCTTATTGTACAATAAGTCAACCCAAGGCCCTGGGACATTACAATACAATATTTAAAAATCTGGAACAGGGCAGACAACGATAAGTGTCATGCACATCATCTAAAGTTGCATTGAATCAAACAGTAAACACAGCCAAACAATCAAGCAGTACAACTTTGAGGGTTGATAAACTGTACAGGCAGTATCCCTCAAGTTTGTATTACTCTTGCCTTTCTTCAGTCTTTTCATGGGTCAAGACATTATATCCTGAAAAATCTGTCAATGAATTCTTTCTAGTTGCAGACCTGCAAGTAAAAAGGAAAAGTAGCCCTACACCAATAATATTGTCAACATCAAGGGTTTCACAAACGTACACGTAACCCATTTGCTGATTTTAAATCTACCACAGCCCCTCTCCTTTTTTCAAAAACGATAACATCTGGGGCCTAGCATAAGTATGAGGCTATGGTACAAAATATTTAAATATAGACTTCCTGGGGGTCAAGATCCACAGCTTCACAAGTAGAATTCATATTTGTGAGGCAGCGTGGTGGAATCAGGCTCTCGTCAATTTTTGGGCATATTGAGTTGTTAGTATCATCTTAAAGCTTGTTCATTTGTCTTGCTTTTAATGAAAAACTTACCCATCCATCTTCAATAGAAGTGGAGATATTTTGGATTGAAGGAGGTGGGGTCACCTGGTTTAAGAGGTAAAATTAGAGAGAAAATGGCCGTCAAAGCTTGGTAAATTCCAAAGCTTGAGAGTCCATGGAAACTGTAAATTTATATTTTTGTTCCTTTAATTAACGGTTTCGGTGAAATCCTCAAAGGAGTATGCTTGTAAATGGACATAAAAGGTGTTGAGCCAAAAAATATGAATTTGATAAAAATTGCTAAGCAGGGAGAAAACTGCTGTTTTCTTCGATTTCATTATTTTGACGAGAGCCTGATTCCACCACGATGCCTCACATTTTTGTATTTGTGAGGGGCACTGAGGAAACCTACGTGAAAGTGAAACTTTTTAAAACCAAAAACATGTCCCCAGAAAGGTGAGAAAAATTTCTTTCCATCAGGCACGTTAGTGTAGGAGCTTTTTAGAATGGATGTTCATTCGGAGGAGAAAATCTTGATATTTTAGCAAAATCCTTTTAAAAAATGACTTTAAAAAGGGTTTATCATTCTTTATTTCATACATTATATCTTTGCATGTAATGTAACCATCTCAAAATGACCTCCTGCACTCTCTGTTGGGTTTCCTCAGCGTCCCTCCCATTGGAGGGAACATTGTTTAGAAAACACAAACAATAACATAAAATGATAGTAATAATAATATCCTTGAGGGGCACAAGGCAGGGGTAGGCCACGGAAAACATGGAGGAGAAGCGTGGTATCTATAACTGTCAAAAAATGAAGCTCACTTTGAGAGATGAACCTCACTTGGAACGAGCTTGGCAGGATGGCCCAGGACAAAGATAAATGGAAGGAGCTTGTATGTGGCCTATACCCTGCCAGGGGTGAAAGGTATTGATGATGATGATGATGAATATCAAAGCATGTCTTCATCATTTGTTCAGTTTTCTCACAATCCTCAAAATTAAAATTAAAACTAACAGGGGCACAAAAGACTTGCAATTAAAAATAGACATGAAGTAAAAGAGCATAAAAAGGACCAAAGTACACATTACCTTGACATCCACACATTTTTAACATTAACTTCAATAACGTATATATATTTAAAGGGAGGGAAAGAGTTGTTGGTGGACTAAGAGCATACAATGCTCAGTTATAATTTGAAAGACATTACCATTGTTTACTGTGTGCTTAGTAAAGGAGGAATGGTATAACAATAACGGTCAATAAATCAGATTGCAGGTTCCACCTTTCAGAATATAAAAAAATCAAATCGATGATTAGGGCACAGTTTGTCAAAAGATGTACGGTATGGCACAGATAACTCAAACGTCAGGAATTGATAATTTTATGTGTCTGACATATCTCTGATTTGGCCTAACCTCAAAAAATAGATTCTAGCGAAATATGAAAGAGACATCAGTAGGGGAATGGCAATTTGTACAAGCTTTCCAGGATTTCAAGTTCTCCATGTTCGTGTTAGGCGTGCCCTACTGTGCTTTTTCTATACACGAATTAAGGGTTTAGTTTATTACAACTGCAAGCCTAAATTTTACACAGAACAACATTTCGTAATTCTATTTTTTAATTCAGATGTTTTTACGCCCTCATCAACATAATTTAGCTCGTTTAAGGAGGCAGGCTTCGACCTTGCCTGTCAGAACCAACTCGAGCTGAAGAAAGGGAGACAACATTCTAGCAGAAAGACAAATACTTGAGATACTCAATAAAAATTTTCTCCACTCAAGAATCGAACTCAGGCCACCTGTGTGCAACACCAATGTCTATAACCACTACATGTACAAAGCAGATGCTGGATTTTTTCATTATCCAACAAAACAAATGTATATATATTTATATAACAATGCACTGATTGTCTTAGTCTTAGTGGTACATGTACTCTTATCAGGCATGCCACACACAGGACAAACAAAAGGTCAAGAGACCAAGAGCAAACCCTCCTTAGAATAAGTCAGAAATTCTGCAGTGATTTATGGAATCATTTGTTGGGATTTCTCTTTACCAACACAAAATAAAAGTAGATTCTAGTTCAAGATACAAAAGCACCACAAAATGAACATATATATACATACATAATAAACATAATAATAGAAATTCACGATATTACATGAATTTAACTAAATATAGGTGTTTCTACACCCCAGTGACATAATTTAGATCAACCTGTCCCCGTGGTTTTACGCACCCCACATAATTTAGCAAAATTTGACCATTTTTTGCATAATTTCTGATTATTTTGCTTTATCATTCTTTGCTAAAATTAACAGAATCGCATAATTTCACATTTTGGGGCTCAGTTTACATAATTTCAGAATTTTTCTTGCATAAAACGACGGGGACAGATCAACTAGGAGGCGAGCTTCGACCCTACCTGTCAGGGCCAACCTACGCTGAGAGGGATACATCATCCCAGTAGAGAGTACAGACTGAGGTACTCTTCTCCCTACACAGGATTCAAACTCAGGTCTTCTGCGTGCAGTGGCAAAGCACCTAACTGCTACATTACAGACGATGGTTTGACTACAAATTATAAGGGACAACACAGAAGAATAAAAATTAACAACTCATTACTGTACAGAAACGAAATGAAAGTTTGTGCAAGTCGGTATTCAGAGGACCTCTTGATTGAGCTTGGATAATTATAATTTCAAATCTCAGGAAAATTTTATGGAATTCTCTGTTTTGTTGTTTGAAACGGTAAGCACATTAGATCATGTCAGGAACTTAAACCATTGGCTGTTTTAATCCTTCTCACCACAAGTAAAAGCTCCAATCACTTTATTGCTTATGCCTACTTTCGACTTGAGTCCACAAATACTTTGGGCCCTTATGATTAGATTACCTCATGTAGATACCAATATAGGCCTACCCAAAACATGATACCAGTACAAATGTACATGTATATTTTTTGTCTTCTTTATCTTCCTCTCCCTGTAGCACATTCATTTCCCATTGTCAATTGTACATGAACAGCTAATTTCATATCTGTAGTAATATATATTATTTTTCTTAACAATAAAAGTTTAGAATAAAATCCATTAGCTTTTCTAAAAGAAAATAAATATATTTTTACTCAGATCTTTACTTTATCGGTCCCTGTGGTTTTAAGCACTCGTATAATATAACAAAATTTGATCATTTTTTGCATAATTTCTGATTATTTTTCTTTATCATTATTCTTAGTTAAAATTAACAGAATCGCATAATTTCACATTTTTGGGCTCAGTTTGCATAATTTCAGAATTTTTCTAGCATAAAACGACGGGGACAGCTTTATGCTTTAAGTAAGGGGTAAAAAGGAGAGATCCATACTCCAAGTTCTTAATTAAATACACACACAGGAAGAAAACTCCTGCTGCAGAAGGATAAATAGGATTTTAAACTTTGTATTGACAATTTACCTCAACAAATATATTTTTGCGCATGAGAAAGGAAATGACCAATTATTTCAGTCTCAAAAATTCATACAAACTTACCTCAGATTCTTTGAAAAGCATAAAAAATGGAAAAGTAGTTGGACTGTTTGTCCAGGAATTCCATTTGTATACACATGTAGCGCAGTAGGCCTACAGGCCAAGACTTGCTATTTTGCTGTCCTTTCGTTATTACAACACCACAGTCAACCTTTTCAGGTACAAAAGTGCAATTTACGTATTAACAACTCCCAGTGCCATTGCTAACTACATTGGAGAATTGTGCTGTTGAGTGTAAGAGTATAATCTATCTAGTATCTCCACTTTTTGTCAAAACTGTCTTGCCATTACCACAGAAAATAGTTCTGGCCCATCTCCTAGTCAATAAAAGTCTTTAAGCAGTTACTTTGAAGGATTTTTTCATGGTTAGAACCAGAATTTAATTCATAGTGTAATTTTATTTTATTTAATGGCAAATCCCATTGCCCTCAGCTCATTAAAATCGTAAATGGATTGTATCATTGATATAACTTATTCTCATATAATAAAAATTAATGTTGTCAGGAGCCAATAATTCTCGTCAAAAGGATAATAATATGTCAGTGTATTCAAAGCAGTCTTAAACAATAACGACTGTGAAAAGGGTTTACATTCCATCCGACACACATAGGTTTGTGCCATCATACAAAATACATGTAGCTGAGTTACCCATTGATATTCTTCAACTATTCTCTGACTACCTTAAAAAAAAAGCTTTGAGCCAGCTGGCAATTGTTTCTTCGACCCCCAAGAAATTATGCAAACGATGATAAATTTTTGCTAAATTATGCGGGGTGCATAAAACCACGGTGACAGATTTGTTAGTCCGTCCGGAGCCAGTCCTGTTCTTCTAGAAGAATCCTCTTAATCCCTACGTCACAGACAGAGACAGCTACAGGTCAGGCAGTGAAGCATTACGGCAGACCAATCTTTTACTTTTTAATTCAAAATCCACGATTGCAAGCAGTGAATATTTCATCACTGTGACTTGCAAACAGCCTGCTCTGGGGTTACTGTGAAAAAGTACATGGCCATCAACAAAATGTAGATAAACACAACGATGGAGCCTTGAAAATAATCGCTCTTTCCATCCTGGAAAATATAGTTGATGACTATGACAGCAAACACGATGGCCCATAAATGGATATCACTGAATACAGCATTGAAGCCCATGGGGTATATTAGGTTTGCTAGGACAATGATCGGCAGCTGCACCATACACACTTGGATGGCCGCTGCACTGCCAATTTCAATGGCAAGGTTCACGTTATTCTGTAGGGAAAACTGAATGCCGTTTACAATCTCCGCCAGCATGGAGACGATAGATAACAAAGTGACACCAATAAAATATTCTGAGATTCCAGATGCGTTCAGCAAAGGCGGGATGTTTGCAGAGATGAGATCAGACGACAAGGCTATTGCCGTAGCACAAAGAAGGAGAATAAAAGTGCTTTTAACCCTTGACCACTGCGCCCTTCCTCCATGAGACCCCGCCCCCTCGTCTCGCTGGCGGTTCTCAAAATCATCAAATATTTCTGCGGTATGAGTTTTCATGGAAAAGATCAGTCCGATGATGTAAGCAATAGGCAAAATCAGGGAACAGGTGTAGACTAGGGGCTCAACGTGAGCTTTGTATAAACTCTGGTTATTATCTGGTCCGACCGTGACAGTGCGACAACCAGAGCAAAGAAAACCTGTGCCGTTTTTAATAGTTCCATTTACCTCACTGTGCGGCTCACAGCTGTCACATTCCAAGTTTCCGTAAATCTTGGAAAAAATGGTGGGTGCAAACACTCCGATGACAGCCACAAACAAGAGAGATGAGCTGATGTTTGCAGATTTGGGATTAAAGTTCTGCCGGCGGAATTTGAGCCCACCAATGACCATCGAGAGGCCAGGAACTAACAAGATGCAGCACAGAATAGAACCAGTTAGTGTTGACTTGACAAGCTCCACAAAACAAGTCTCGTTATCATCTCTACCCTTCTTCAGCATCATGATAAACAGCAGAACTTCAACCATGGAACCAAATGTTGCGTTCAAAAAAGCACCAACAGCAAAGTTACTCACAGCTGAAATGCTAGTTATAGCCATGCCTATGTAGTAAGTGACAGGAAGTATTGAGAGAATGCTCAAAATACATTTCATAATAGGGCTGGTGAGCTCATTCTTTGAGTCAGCATAACCAATGGCGATAGACAAGATGACAAAGAGAAGCAGGTTGGCCACAATAACATTGACCCCATCCACTGTGTACTTGTAGTAGTAGACGTTGAAAGCTTGATGCGTGTACATAATAATCTTGTTACGTCGGAGACCGCCTTCCTTCAGTCCCACTCCAGAATCTCCGACTCGTACTTCATCCGCAGGCATGAACAAAACTCGGGTCATCGTCTTGATGTTGATCTTCGCTATAGGAATAGTGACAACAAAGAACCAGGAGACGGCAAACAGGACAGCATGAACCACCCACAACACCGGCAGCCCCACAAGGAACCACAGGTAGGTGCCCGGATGATTCTTGGTACGACAGAAGGAGAGTGACCAAGCAAACAGCAAGTCATTTTCTCCCTCTCTTCTGCCTGGAAGAACTGGGGTGACTTCTGAATGATCACAAGCCGGCACAGCACCCAGCCCATCTGTCTCACTCTCTTCCCGGATCATTGAAGGTTTTATGAACACAGATTGGTACACAAACTTCCCGAAAGGCCATAGGAAGTAGCGAGCAAGTCGGAAACACATTTTTCCATGTTTGAAACCCAAAACAGAGAAGCACATGACAACCCCAATGACCGAGTACAACAAAGCCAACCACCAACCAACAAGAAGAAAGTAAAGAATATTAGAAATCCTGAAAGTTGACACTCGTACTGGGGTGTAACTACTGATATCAGAAAAAAGAGACTGTACAATTTCAGATCTGGAATCAATCGACCGAGAAGAAACGTGACTCTTCCACTTTCTTAACCCAAACCGATAGTTATTGTATATTTTCTTAGCTTCCACCTCATTCTCCGCTTTTTCTACAACATTAAACTCATTCGAGGTCTCTGCCTCTGTCTCGAATAACATGCTGGTTCTGTGGCGTGTGGTCCCCGACCTGCTCGGGCTAGAAAAGTTGTAAGTTTCGCTCACATTCTTTCTCTGCGGACTTATAGGAGGCGGTGGCCCGACAGCTTCATCATTTTCCATCTCAATGGCATTGTCCCAAGAAACAACTTGATTGTGGTTTGATGCTGCCATACTGGAGGTTAATCTATGCTCAAATCTGATGAAACCTCGTCTCGAAGTGTCAGAAAGTGAAAGAAACACTACACTTAAATAGGAAATATAGAAGATAAGGAGAAAAATACTATAACATCAATATACCTTAACTATGAAAGAGTATTGAAATTTTCTGAATGGCACTATCCCACAAAAACTGCCTATATCACATCTATTTAAGCAAGATACTAAATGCGTAAGGCTTAAGGAAATTTGCAAAACCACTATATTAAAAAGTATGCATAGAATTTCCAGAATGTACGATAGTTTTATAGAATCTGGGAAAATAGCAAGTGGAAGACTGGTGTTTCAAAACTTTATGGATGTATGAGAGAGGAGCCTCAACTTTAATACTTAGCAGCCTGCTGAATGCAGGATATCTCTCTTATTACATGAAAGTTATTGTAAGTCAAAGGACAACAAGCTACAAAAACAAGATTCAAATCTATCTTCCCCCCCTGGTTTAGAGGGCTGGTTGGGACTATTAATATTAAATCCCAACTGAGGCGAAATAATACTGAAGTGAATGGATTTTATAATTTACACAAGTGTGATCTTCAAAAATTAACACACGTATGGTATTGTTCACAGCACAACAGTAAAAAAATAAATGTGCAATTAATAACAAAGGTTGATTTGACAAAAGACTTTAATATTATCACATAATTCAACACATTTGATCATACAGTTGTAAGATATTCATCGATATGTATTAGTAGAAAACAGCTCATTGACACAGCAAAGCCTTTATTTATGACTTATCCAAGGAGAACCACATCCTCACTGGTCCTCAGTACTACTGAATCAACACAACTTCTTGCTATTGAATTGTCACTTCTACTTCTGCCTCAACAATTCTTTCACAGCCTCTGACTTAGCGAGAGCTTCTGGCTTTCTGCCTTTGTTATCCTGGATCTCCAACGCTGATGAGTCGGCTTTGATTAGAAATTCCACTGTGGTTTCAGCACCTTTTTCCGCAGCCTGCAAACAAAACAAAACAATGAAAATTTAAAGACCCCCATCTGTGATAAAAGTCTCGTTCAAAAGTTATAAAGCTCAACAGTTCTCAACATCTCATTATTCCAGACAGACGGGAAGGAATAAATCAAAATGGGAGAACAGACTGGACATGACGTCATGAACAATACTGGTCGTAATCATGTCTGTCATCTGGGGCTGTAAAACATAATAAGCAAACAGTAAACAATAAACAAAGCACGCAGAAAGTGGTTAATGTTAAAAAAAATACAATTGTAGTAAAACTACCACATATATCCATTTCTCCATGTAAGACTCCATCACACATCAATTTTCACAATATAACAATTGGCAGAGTTTGTTTCTGTTTTAGTAGAGGTTCTACGGCCCTCGCAACTACAAAATAGAGTCTTGAGCCACATCTTGGAAGTACAAGTATAATTAAAATGTTTGAATTCCAATCAGAGCAACCTCGAACTACTTTCTTACATTTTTAGACTTCCTAAAATGTCAGCTCTACATGGCTTTAGGTTGACCAAGTGCTGCATCTTTGACATGAACTAATCAGTGACTGGGTTTGAGTTAAAGAGAAGGTTATCCATACAATAACGATCATAGAATGCAGGAAAGAAGCAAGACAGATTATAGACAGAAACTACTGAATCAAAAAAGAATAGAAGTAGGACCTACCAGTGGCGCCTTCCAATCACCCGTTTCATGACTAGAAAGGCTCAAACACAATTTAAAAGACAAACAAAAATCGACTTATTCGTACCTTGTGCAAAGGCGTCATGCCATCACAATCAATCACTAGAGGATCTGCTCCGTGGTCAAGTAGAAGGCGTACCACTTGTGAATGGTTCATATAAGCTGCCCGGTGCAGAGGAGTAGCTCCACTGGAAGACGTCCTCACATTGACATTTGCTCCATGGGACAGAAGCAGCTGACAGATATCTAGATGTCCACTCCGAGAAGCGTAATGCTGAGGAAGATATATTTGAGATGTTATTTTTTTAAATCGTTACAGTAGGGTGAAACTAAAGAAATATTAAACTAGGAAAACAAAAAATTATGATGATGAAACAAAATCCAATAAATTATAATCCCAGATGACCTAGAGAGCTTATATTATGTTCATGGGCATTGGCAAACGTTTTCAGTTTTCCTTCAATCCAGAAAAATGATAATAAGATGAATAGTAAATTAAAAATTTATATAGTGTATTTCGACTCTATCAAAATGCTCAATGCACTTTACAATTCATGCAAAAAATATTGTTCCAGTATTAGTACTATTAGTGATCTCTCTCTCTCTCTCCCTCCCTCCCTCCCTCCCTCTCTCTCTCTCTCTCTCTCTCTCTCCCTCCCTCCCTCCCTCTCTCTCTCTCTCTCTCTCTCTCTCTCTCTCTCTCTCTCTCTCTCTCTCTCTCTCTCTCTCTCTCTCTCTCTCTCTCTCTCTCTCTCTCTCTCTCTTTCTTCCCAATCCCTCTCCCCACAGTTTCACCAACATTACAAACTAAAAATATGCCTCAACAAAGAAGCATTTTTTATTCAGTGGAGTCCGCATAAACCAAACATGGTTGATCTGAAAACAGCAGTAAATTGAATGAAAATAAAATCCCTGATTGTTTTTCTTCTAAATTTGAGCAACTTCTCTTCATCGGAAAACTGGATCAGCCAAGAAAATCCAGAGGTCCCGCAGATTTCAGGTTCCACTATATGTCGTTCTCAAACTGTCTTCCGACCATTTAATTTGGCGAGTGATTTTCTTAGTTCAACAAAAGTCTCGGATAAATGTACTTTTTATAGTGTGTAAAAACCAAATTCCCATAAAAACCAGTCACACCCATCTTTTACGACACACTTTTATTATGGTCTGGTATGACATTTTAATTTTAGTTTGGACGGATCTCAGATTCAATTTTTTCAGACAAAACCACAGCACTGTGCTAGCCAACATCATGGCTATGATTGATGCTGAACAGTAAAATACCCACATTAAAAAAAGTTGTTCATTAAACTCATAGAAACACTGAGAGGGTTTTTTAAACTTTTTAAAAACTAGATCTTTATACAACACGGGGAGGTTCGCTCTCTCTCTCTCTCTCTCTCTCTCTCTCTGTGACTCTCTCTTTTCCTCACCTCTATTATAAAAAGGAGTATGAGTTGTAATCTTTAAAATTCAAGAGGAGAAACTGGATTCCACACATTGTCTTTTGACGTTATTAACAGTTCAGAAGCATTATAATCATTATTAAATGCGAAGTGACTATTTCTCCGAACGTTCGGGAAAATAAAGTTGACCTCTATTTCTCCTAACCGTTTCCGATCTTGAGATTTTTGGTTATTTGCGAGATTTAGGCGTCATCTTTCATTCTGCCATTCGACGAGGACTGGGAAGGAGTATTTTTTTGCATCGAATTCAATTTCTAGAGCAAGAGATTTTTAAATGTCTGAATATATTCAGATACTTCAATTGTGGTTCGCGCAACGTTCCCGGACTATACTTCATTTGAAAATACCTTCAAAAGGTACTGCGAGAAAACAATACTGCTCGACCATGGAGGTAACTTTCTATTTTGCATTTAGTCACCCAGCAAAAACTAAAATCCTCCATTCATGTTTTTAAAAATCTACCCCCCCCCCCCCCAATTCACACCTTACACACATACACACACTCATACACAAAAACACATACACACGGGCCAGTCCATTCGCTTTTATTATCAACAAATCTCAAGAACAGAAACCGTTCAGAGAAATAGAGTTCAACTTTATATTCCCGAACGTTCGGAGAAATAGAGCCGGCCTATTAAACATTTGGAGTGTCCAGTTGTGAACAGTGCTGACAAAATGGGTTATTTCTCGGATTCTAGCCCTACGGAAATAGATATGTCTTATAATGTCACGCTTATAGATGAAGTTTTTACAATTTAGAAGTATGAAATAATAAATTACTCTGAAAGAATATATAGATCTATATATCTATATATATATCGCTATATCTATATCATCAACAGAAAATCTACACTACAAATTTGATCCTAGTGTTGATTTTTTGTCATTATATATATACCATTTGTGGATTGCGAGACGTAACTCACTTTTTGTCAGCACACCTCAGAGTCTTATTGACTCAAAAAATAGGAAGAGGCTAGCCGTACTTAATGACGGCTAGACTGGTTGGCTAGCGGTACTTAGACGGCTAGACAGCTGGGCTAGCCGTACTTATTCTTAATATGATGGCTAGACTGACCATGTACTTAACATATTTGAGTCGATAGGGCCAAACCTAGATCTAAGTACGGCTAGACTGGCAGTCTCTCAGGCTAACTGTACTTAATTAAGTACGGCTAGCCACTTCGCAAAAAACAAAGTCCAGTTTTACATACATTTACATTACAATGACAGCTTCATTGCTAATATCAAAACTTAAACTAAATCTAAATCTAGATCTACATATCTAGATCTAGATGTAGATCTAGATCTAGATATACATTCTAGACTAGATCTAAATTTAGATTAGTAGGCCTATCAAAATCAAAACAGAAGAAAAGTCAACAATAAACAAAGACAGCTTACCAAAGCAGTGTAACCGGATTTGTCTGTATCGTTCACATGAGCACCGTTGTCTGATTTCAGTTTTTTTGTCACGTCGTCTATATCACCAGCAAGAGCAGAACTCCATATTCCGCGGTCAAAATCTAACTCCTCTAATGTTTGATGAACAGATGGATTGGTCAGGTGATGATGACAATTATGCTCTACTTTCTCTTCGCTGTTATGCGAGCAGCCATGTTGAAACATTTTTCAGAATATTAAACTTCTTTCACAAAGAGTGCTGGACTGTGCTGGTGCAGTTCCGTCCCTTGGGGAAAGAAAAATGAGCGAATCTCCATTTAAGATTCCTTCCGATGTGGTTATTTTTGTAGTTTAAAAATTATTAGAAAAAATAAGAATACCTTAATTCATATTCTACTATTCTTTTTTTTTTTTTTGGTTGGTCTTTTTGATTCATTCTATTCAATTCTCTAAACTTTATATAGAATTACATAATTGGATTTTTCAAATGTTTTTGGAACACGTCTTTACACTAGGACGATAACTAAATTCTTTAATTAAAATTCGACAGTGAACTGGCATCCAGGCAAATGACATAATACGTTTTAAGAACTGTGGAGACACTAGACGAACTGCAGCAGCAGATTGTGTTTAATCAAGAATAGACTGAAGAAAAGAGATGGGGGGAAATACTGAGTAGGTCCATATAAAAATACAGCGATGCAAAACTAAAACAAGAGGTGACAGAATGATGGACAAAAATTCTGGCTTCTTGTTGCAACCTGTCAACTGTAAAGGGATCACGGAGCAAATTATTCTCAATTGGTGATCATTAATCACTGGTTTGTTTGAACTAATAGTGGTCATTTAAATACAGTGGTGTACAACACTATAAATTTCATTATGCAAGCTGCACACCTTTAAATCGCTCTCTTTTAATTTCTGTATCTACAGACGAGGATGATGCCTTAGGGGTGACCTTCATAGAGAACGGGACAGTGACAGCTTTTATGGTGCCAGAAGGTAAGGGTGTGGAGCAGACAGCTTTGCGAAGTTGAAGGGCCTGAAGTGCTTCTGCAAGCTCAATGATGGCCTGCCTTGCAACAGCCAGTTCGAATCAACTGCTTTTGACGACCTGCGTTTGTCTTTTGTTGGTATGACACGAGAGGAGCATAATATTTTTTGACGCGTTTTTACGTAATTCAATGATTTACTGTTGTAACATAAAAACAGTCATAACTTCACGTAGAAGAAAGGTATTTCACTAAAATAAAAAGCAAAATGTCCACAAATGGCACCTCTATGCTGTGGTATCAGAATTATTTGCTTCTATGCATTGTCATCATGGAAAATATGTTCCCAAAGTAAGCAAAACTTTAAAACCTGTTTTCTCAAAATTTGACACTCGAACCCCTGTTCGCTTTAAAATGCCATAACTTTTCACAGAATGCTCCAATTGCTTTCAAATAAGTGCAAAATGCTCGGAAAAGACGTGTCTTTTAAAATCTGCAAAAAAGTTCATTTTGAAATTTTGCACCTTGTGAAGGGTTTTCTCAGAGCCACACACATACATAGTTTCTCAATTGTTGACAGTTTTTTTAAGCAAAATAAAATCAACGCACTATCAATCTTCGACCCCTCCAAATTTCAGGACTACCAAAAGTCGTTTTCTACAGCTTTTTTAGGATTATTTAAAGAAATATTACTGTTTTGCATAAAATCAAGTTACAAGCTGAATTATAAGTATGGCATTGCTATGATATATTTAAGTTCGCTCAGGGTCGTACAATTTTTGGCCTTTATTCAACTCTGAACGACTACAAACTCGACAAAACATTTAGAGAAGTGGGCAAAGTCCTAGCTCTGGCGTGGTTTGCTCCTTCTTTCCTATCAAGCATCTGTCGTCTTTATCTCCCCTCCTTCTTTTTTATGTTTGTTACTCCCTTGTAACACCTCTAATTTTCTGGCGCTCATATAACCGTATGCAGTTGCGAGCGCCGTAAAACGTCTACTAAAACAAACATGAAACAAAAAGCAAAATCCTAGAAATCGCACTGATGTTTATGTCGATCCACAAGGACATCATTGACAGTATCCCCAACGTCGTCAACAGAATATTAGACATTTTTGCTTCTGCAAAAGAACGAAAGGAAGACTTCTTCTTCAAATAGATTTTCTCAAAACAGGTAGGAGGAAGAAAACATCTGATTTACCTTGCCCTTGATTATCTCCAACCTGCTGTAACCTAATTGTGCACACCCACTTTTTAGACCCACGAGCCGTCCCTGCAGTCATCATTATTAAGTACGGCTAGCCTGGCCATCCAGCTGTATATAGGTCAGGTTAGGCCCTATTAACCGAAACCTGTTGAGTACACCGGTCTCATTAGTAATTACTCAGGTTTGAAATACATGCACTATCAGTAAGGCTCCTTTAGGTTTCGTCTCAAAAACAAATACTTTAGGTATTGCAAACTAAAACGTCATTTACAATTCAGGAGGCCAATTTTTTTCTGTTTGACAGTCTAGCCATCATTATTAAGTACGGTTAGCCTGCCAGTCTAGCCATCATTAAGTACGTCTAGTCTCTTCCTTTTTTTAAAGCTGAGACATATATGCAAAGAGTCAAAGACACCCAACCTATTTCCATGGTGGAAGTTGGGGGATTCCAAGAGTTGATTATGTATGCAGTTGATCCCCCAATACTTAAAAGGCAACATTTGTGGGTTCAGCTAAAGTAGAAAAAAATTAAGTCCTACTTGAGATGGATACTGTTAATCACGCTTACACAGCCTCGTCATCAAAGTACCCCACCTCCCCCCTGCCATACTCTCAAAGACGCTGTGCATAGCCCCATCAACAAAGTACTCCCTCCCTCCCAACGCCATACTCTCAACACAGCTTCACCATCAAAGTATCCCTCACTCCC